GACTTATCAAGCGCATCGCCTTGTTTCTGGCAATTAGTCATGATCGACGTCACGCGCCGAGTGTTTCCAAAGTCCATCGCGACTAATTGCCGCGAAGGCGACAGCCACGAAGTAGCCATCGGAAATTTGTCAATTGCAGGTAACTTTGGCTCGTTCTGCGCACAGTTTCCTCGCAGATGTTCCTGATAGGCTAAAGTTACGGGCTACGCTTGCGGAGCACCTTACTTCGACGGCCGTTCCCTTGTACATTGTACACCAATTTCTTTATCCCCCTCATCTGCGCGTATACACACTTATACACACGAATACATCCGCCTTCTCCCAAGTCACCCTCGTTACTTTCTTTGTTTTCTTCCGCTGTCGAATGTCGCGATCGTAAAATCGATACCCACGGCTGTACCTACGGCTGAATCCAAAGGGAATTCGTGCACAGATTCGTGAAAATTCGAAAATTTCAACCTCTTATTTTGTCAGATATAAATAACTTAACCAGGAAAAAATGTATGTCAAAAGGTTCTCAAGAAAAAGTAGATACTATTCAACGGATATAATTATATTTGATTACGCTAAAAATTAAAAACCTACTTTAACTCATAACTGAACATACATGATGGGTCTTGCGAACCGATATTCGATTCTTATATTTAAAATCTTAAATGCAGTCTTAAAGTGTCATAAACCAATCGCAGACTCGAAATAGTCTTAAAATAAAAACTCAATACTGGTTTTGATAATCCTAGGACGTTTTCCTAATTGTTAAATGGTATAACGATTTAGAATAATTTTGTTTGACAATTTTATTTTTCACAGTTTTGTTCCATTTGTGTAGGTTAATTATCGTATTTTATATGTTTATGCCAAGTTGAAATATGATTTTTTATGTAATTAAAAATTTTAAAACTTTTTTTTTTATAAAACTGATGAATTCCAAGGATCTATATATTCCTTTGGTGTTATAAGAAATACGTGTTCTTGTTACAGACTAAAGATGTGTAGATTCTCAAATATTTGTTTAATTATGTTAATTATATTAACAGTTTGGAGAAATATGACGTTTATGTTAGCGGATTTAAAAAAATATAACTGCGAACTTGTTTCGGGAGAAAACACCAACTCATTAAGTGTATTGCTACAAGAGGAACTATTTCGAAGATGACAGGAACCATTAGTGAGTAACTAATTGAGGGGTTCCGAAGTAAAACCCAGTAAACTCGAGTAACAGACATTTATGCAAATGTCAGTTGCCTGATTTTACGTCCGAACCCCTTAATTAAACACAGTTGTCAGGTGGACATTCCAAGAACTTAGAAGTCAGAGTTAAAGAAAATCGCATGTAAGTGTGCGGAACATTTATGGCGTTTTTAAATAGCCGAGTTGAAAGTTTCCGTAATGAACGGTAGCATGATACCGCGTGTTATATTTATTTGTAGATAGACTGAAAGTTTTACGCGTTTATATAAATAAAAAAAAACAGAATAAAACAATAAAGAGAAAAATAAATAAACTTCAATAAAAGAAAAAAAAAACAATGCTTTTGGCATCAATTCGCTAGGGAATTAAAATAAAATATTTTTTATCGTAGGATATGGGAAATAATCATCTGTCGAATAATTCCTTTGCTTCTCGCTTTGCGTGTATACACAATTATCCTTTCAAAATCCGTAAAAGCATTCTATTCTTATACGCCTGTATTATATCCACCTATCTCTTTCTTTCCCTGCCTTTCTCTCTCTCTCTCTCTCTCTCTCTCTCTCTCTCTCTCTCTCTCTATTCTCTCTCGTTTCCATTTTAAAATTGTTCATTTAAAAGCTTACCTCAAACCCCATTCAGAGCCACACGTGTAGCTGGATGCGGTCAAGCGCTGTTTCGTTATATTTTCTCAGGATACTCTCTCCGTCTCGCACCGCGATGCGTCGCGATGCGTCGCGATGCGTCGCGATGCGTCGCGTCACCCAACGCGTTGTCGACCGGATCTCGCGCGTCGGCCACGTGACGTGGCACGTATACGCGGCGAGCGTCGGCAGGCGTCGAGACGCCGCCGGAAAAGGGGCGTCCGCGGCTTTATGTTCCCGTTGGGAATTCCGTTCTCATGCCTCACGGCGTTTCGTTTCACGTCGACGTCCCGACGCTGCACGTGAAACTACCGTGCCGGTACATGCATACGCACACATACACACATACGTACATACATATACGCGTGGAACGTGGGCTCATGTTCAAAGCCGGTACTGTCAGGCCGGACACGAAACTTTGCCGGATCGCCTGCCGTGATCCGCGAGTCACGAGACGCGATACGCGTGTCAGGATCGCCTCCGCGAGACGATCGCGTGCGCAGATGTATTAGCAGATTGTTGTTGCAATTTAGCGTTATGTGATTAGCGTGGCGCACGGCGTGTGTGAGCACTTAGTAAATTGGCTCAAATCAAATAGGAACGATATTTCTAATTGGAGGTATCTTAGTTTTAAAATATTTGCAAGTGTTTTTGCACGTGCATAGTTTTTTCATTTACGTAAACTCATATCTGAATAGTCTAAGTTTAGCCCAATAATGGTAATGCCTAAAATAATTTGAATTTCAGGACTTCTTATAGTTTAGAACTCACATATGGAAATATCAGCTTATATAAAATCTATCTTCGTATTTTAAGGATATTAATCTTATCTTTAATTTACATACGCTTGATATTTTCGTATACATTGAATCAAATCTGTGTCTTCATGTAATAATATTTTTATACTGAAAACATGTACATACGTAATAATAGTAGATAATAATAGCTTTATCGAAGTATGGAGAAAAGAAAATATACAGATTAGCATATCCGGAAAGATTTATCCGGATAAAAGTACAATTAGATGATCAGATGGTCTCCCAAAAAGATGAGGCATCAGCACAACACTGTTGTGTATGAGTTCAAACCTTAATAAAATGCAGTTTGTATAATAATTTAATACATATGTATGAGAGATGTATACAATAGATGTATGGAGAGTCGCGAGGATGGAAATTAAGCGATGAATTGAATAAATATATTTATAGAACAATTCGCATAGAAATTTGACAATAGAACGTATAAGAAGATAAAGAAAAAAGAAAGCGCTGCTATATATATCATACTTAGAAATGATGTATCATACTTAGAAATAAGAAGCAATATAGAGAGATTACGATCGTTCCAAAAGAAGAGAGAAATGAAGACGAGCGGATGTCACTTGGTAATAAGTTAAAATATTTAACTCCAGCATAAAAGATTTATATTTGGATGTGCGGTGGAGAAGACAAGATAATGATGATTGAGAGCGAATGATCGACAATGCAGGAGTATATGAAGTTCATGGTTATAATTGAAGCAATCTCATATAAGGTGGACTTTCAGAACGCAAGGCATTAAACATGAAATAGCAAGATGAATCGCTGCTGTATATTCAGCCTGAGATCTGAAACAGTGGGATTAGATGATCAAATTTTTTAGCACCATTTGACAAATTAAGGCACATGGAAAGAACGATTTTGAAGTATTTAAAAATTTAGCTAAGTACAAATAATTTTATTGGTGCATTAAAATAATTATGTAAAAAACTTGAGCGATGCTAAAAAGTTTTGATATTCCAGTGACCAGCTTGAGCGTAATTATTTTGACAGAGCAATGAAATTATATATGTTCGGATTTGTATCTAGGTAAATTTTATACTTCTGCAAAACTGTTCTTTCCGGGCACGAGTTTTCAATGCGATGAATCCGATTTCGCACTTGGCTATTCAGATTTGGTGTGTAAACGATGTCAGCGTAATCAAACAGCGAAAGGACGAGCATTTGGGAAACGAGGAGCTTTTGTGGAAGGAAGAGAATATAGTCGAGAGGGTATAATGGTATAACATACGCGAGACGTGTATAAGCAGCTTTACATTTGATGGTTACATGATGGTCGAGAGATCGTACGGAGTCGAAGTGTACACCGAATATCTTCAATTGGCGAGAATACAATAGGAATAGAATTTAAGGAAATTAAATGGTGGAGATGAGACGGCACGTATATCGATTACCAATCACACGCTAAAACGATCATTTAACCAATAAGTTTGATTGAAAACTATAATAACATTAACGTTTATTATCTTCTACAATACAGATCATTTACTTAATCTTATTTTCATTGTTTATCACTTTAAAGGCGAAGTTTCTATTTCGATGGAAAGAAATAAAAATATTTGCAATTTGTTACCTTAATTTCGACGAAATTTTAAAGTCAATTTTTCTTCAACAAAACTATTGCAATCTATTGTTTTCAAGTCCTAACTAATTAAAGAAGTATTTATTCGAACTGAAGAGTTCGAAACTATAGATATTTCAATAAATATATAAATCTTTTAGAAAATATCGACTTCGAAGCACGTCAAAATGGAGATAGCCAAATATTTAGCGAATATTTTTATCTGCGCCTAAGTATTTAATAAATATTGTCAATTTCATTAAGCTCTTTCGGAGTCTCCATGAAATCAAATCGAAAGAATGTTTTTAAAATTACAAGATATATAGAAGTGATTTTGATCGTGTTACGCTTTATATAACTTTACGTTTTACGTTTTAGCGTCAGATATATTTTTTATGTGACAGGCATAAAAAAAAATCCCTCGACTGTGGTTCAAGCGGGTACGCCAGACGTAACGTGCGAGAGAATCGCTTGGGCGACGAGGAATTTAAAGTTTGTTCGTGAAATTCGAGCATCTTCGCGCCGGAGTATGCGTCAGATACGAGCACTCTCGAATTTAAGGATGCTCGAACAACTGTTGCGTGCATCCTTCGCAGCTTCTTCCGCGTCGTCTCGTCTTCCGCACGACTGCTCGCGCAGCATGCGTCGCGTCGCTCCGCTCCGCTCCGCTCCACTCTGCCCCGCTCCGGAATATGCGCGGCGGGTTCGCGCGTGCGAGAGGTCGCCGCGGGCGGACGGGACGGCCGACATCGCGACGTACGGCGTCGCGGCAACGGGTGCCGAGCGCCGCGCCGTCAGTTTGCGTCTGCCTAGGGTCGCGACGTCCTCGCTTCCACGTAGCACTGGAGATCGCGCCATTCCGTTTCGTGTACGCGATCGAACACTGGACGGCCGACGACGTCACCGTCGACGACGTCTCGACGAGGGACGCCAACAATCGTAACGTTCCGATCGCGATCGATCGAGCGATAGATCAGAGCCACGTGACTGATCGCCAAACATCTTTTCCGCTTTCCGCGACGATCGGTTGGTCCGGGGGAAGTTTGAAGGAATCCTCGGGTGTTCCGGGGTGATCTGAGAATTCTTAGAATTCTCCTAGGATCCTTGAGAGTCCTTGGAGAAGTTTGCGAGATAAGTCGGGACTTTGCTAACACTCCGAAAGCAACTCGAAGCGTCTGAGATATCTCGCGAAAGTTTAAGGAGACATAAGAAAGCTTGCAGATTTTTGGATAAGTTTACGAGATGGCGAATTAGTTTGTAAAAAGCTTGAAAGTCGCAAGTTTTTAAGGAAGTAGAGCTCGAAATTTTGAGACGTGTGGAGCAGTTAGAAAGTGTTCGAGATATTATCGAGAGTCACTGAAAACTCTGACAAGTTTGCAAGAATCTCCGGACATCTCCCACCGAGGAACAGAAATTCTTTAGCGATCTACGAAAATTTTTATAAAAGATCTAACACGATTTCAGTTTCAGCTTTTGAGACTCGTGTTCCAAGGTTACCGAATAACTTTTTCCGTCGCGTAGATTTTTGGTCACGTGGCCGCAGAGTTGCAAAACTTACGAGATTCTATCCTGAAAGTGTACATTGCGTTTTATAATCAAGGAAGGACTTTCTCGATTCATCGCTATTTTATAAGATTTCAAGGAAGACAGTCCAATCAAAATAAAATTGATGAAAAATGAAATTAATAAAGAATTAATCCATCTGGCAAAGTCTTGTCACATTATACGATTTATCAATCTATTATTGAAGACTTTCTATGAGATATTCATCGTAAATTCTCAGTTCACGAGTGTTTCTCTAGGACTCTAAATCTTTACCGGAGGATATTTTCACTCTGCGGTTCGAGGACCTTAAAGTGAAAAGGCTTGACGTTTAAAAGGCTTCCGGTTATATCCTGCCCCGTCATAATTTCGAAGAGTTCTGTTTGAACAGTCCTGAATACAGTAAGAACGACATAAGTGGAATTATCGAAGACCAATAAGGTCTTGAAATTGATCGATCTGCGACCGATATTTTTGAAGAATCGGTGAATTCAATTCAGCGACTCGTGGAGACAGAAGGTAGATGGATCTATTTTGATATCTGACAGAGAACTGTTCTCTCCACTACAGAAATTTCGGTGAGTAATGATAATCTTTAATTGGATTTGCGTTTTGGACACATTGAACAATTTTGTCTTAAATTTAACACATTTCGTGTGTCCTAAATGTGATTCACTCGATTTTTTATGTTAATTTAATAAAAGATAAATATGTAGAAAATAACATAAACATTATTATGAAAAAATTATAAAAAATATAACACTGATATAATTTGTAAGCAAACTGTAGAAATATATTTTTCAGCAAAATTAACATTTATGATATGTTAAATTACATTTTATTCATTTATTTTATTGTTAAAATTTATTTTTTAAAGTACAGTGTTATTTGTTAATTTACACATAAATTGTGTTACTTTGACAAAAATGTGGAATACCAATTTAATACAATATATGTTCAAATAATATAATTACATTATGTTAATTGAATACTCGGATATGTTAACAGTTCCATACACAATTTTAATAAGGCTTGAATGGATTGTTTCTAGTGTAAATATAAAATATTTTTACTATGTGAAAGCGTATATACTTACAGAAATACAAATTTTTATATAATAATAAAAACATTATTATTAATATATTGATATATTATAAATGTATAAATTATGCATTTTTAAGAGAAAAAGATTATATCTAGAAAAAAACTAGAAGTCTAATTCACGTACGAGTAAAAAATAATTATTTTACACAATTCTTATATACAGATATGTGTTGCAACTTTATAAAAAATCTTAATAATCTTCGTATCTAACTCTTGTTCTAAAATTTAAGCACTCAAAGTGTAAAAAAATGCTGAAAAATATTTTTGTTAATCCAAGAGCAATTTAAATTTAAACGCATAAAATTCAAACGCATTTACGGATTCATAGAATTTTTATCGTGTAATTTATTACACACCCCATACTGCAGCCTCGAATATATACCGCCTGGTATTGTCACTTGTTTCGAGCGACGTAGTTTTACATAGTAATAACATAAATATTCAAATATCCACAAATATAAATATTCCAAACACCGGACTAATAAAATAAATATTCGAGTAAAATACAAAAAGAATCCTCAGAAATGTTCGTAGATATTTAGATTTTCATTCTACAAATTACGATTATATATGTAAAGCTATCCAAACGAGACATGGATATCAAAAGCGAAAGAGAAGTTAGACATTTCGCATTTCGCATACCTGTTCGTCTATTTACAAATTCCAAATGTTCAAAATTTGAACGCATTTACGGATTAGCGAGCTTTAATCGTGCCATTTATTACCACGTGCCACGTTATATCCTCGAATGTACACCCCGCCGTATTGTCGTTTGTTCCAAGCAACGAGTTAGATTACTGTTGGGTGAACTTCACAACTTAATTCTCTTTCGCGTCGCAGCAGCTGCGAATATCAGTCTGCGCGATTGCTCGCGCGAGCTTACGCGTCTCACTCGCAAAATCTCCGGCTCAGATGAGCTCCGGCGCGGTGCGACTCGCAAAACTTGGCACTAAACTCCCGCATTACCCTTGTCGTTCGCTCTCGCAGACTGGATGACGGGCGGTACTCGCTGCACTAAAACTCGCTGCCGGAAAATTCGTTATCAATTTCTGCTTATCGGGACGTGCCGTCGCTACCTTGAATAAGGACTCGTTCATCCGCTCGGACGAACAACCCCCGAGAGCGGGGATTAACTTGAAATCAGCGTCGCGGCGTGTACTGATTAACAATCGTAATTAAATTCTTTCCACGCTAATGACTGCTGGCACTTGAGCTCCGTGCAAATGATATTTAAATTAGCACCGCGTCCTGTATACTAATCAAAGCCGAATCTCTCTTCACGCCACGGACGTGCTCCCTTTCGTCCGAATTATTAATTAATATCGCATTACGATCGCATCAACTTTCCGTGATTTATCTGGGAAAAATTGGATACTCGGGAAAATCATTTAAATAATAATCTCGATAACCTTGTTTTCACAGAAAATTATTATTGCTGTTACGTTCGTAATAATTTCTTATCGATTCCGTCAATTTTATCAAAGATACAAATACATTCTTTATAGTAACGAATTGAAGAAATCTAAAGTTAGAAATCAGTTTCACGTTTCCGTCAAAACGTAAAATGTTAATATAAAATTCATTTGAATTCAGATTCATTTATTTTTTATTAATAAATTAAAACGAATATAAAACCTTTTTAAATCTTTTAGTTCTACCTTTTAAAAATGTTTCGTATAACAAATGCCTCAAAATATCTCATTCAAATAATCGTTCCAAAATAACACGATTCTAGGAATGTATTATTCAAAGTCGCGCGAATATTTTGGTCCATAACGGACTATTTTGGACTCTCATCTTATATGAAGGTGGAGGCAATGTTTTACACGATTTATTAGAAGTATGTTTACGAAACGAGGATAAGTGGTTTTTTCGGTAAACAATCATGATTGTTTACACAAGGTCTTGCGGAGCACTGCGGTTCTTTCGTTAAAACAACCGCTTGTCAATATCTACATGCAAAAATTTTTTAGGGGTCAAAAAAAACAATCAATCGCGAAATCGATGTTAACCAAAAGCTAATTTTGTTTACAAGAATATTTATATACAAGAATAAATTTTCGAAAGGAATCAATAAAATTATTTTGTTATTACAAGTGAAAAATAATGTTTAATTAAATTCTATTTATAAGATTTTGATTCTTTCTTCCTTTTCTTTCTTTTTCTAAAAATATTAAAATATGGATAAAAATATATGATAAATATAAATCTATTATATTAGGCGTTGGAATTAATTCGTAGCGTTTTTTAATGAAAGAATGTTATTTATTTCACATGAGCATTAAAAAATACATTAATGAAAGTACTTCCCATCACTTGTAAAACGCTACGAATTAATTCCAACACCTAATAAATGAAAAATTTTTTAATAAATATAAGTGCAAATAAGACCAAAATGCTGATACGATGATAAATTAATTCTTTCTTCAAATAATTGAGTTTTTTCAATCACTAATTTTATCAGCCGTACAGTTAAATTACTATTTAATATTAATTATTGATAATTCACGAGTATAAAACTAGCCTTATCTATGCTCAGTGATTTTGTATCAAGTTGTAAATTTTATGATGTAATTAATACGATCCTTTTTACGTCAATATAAGCTCAGTATTCAAAACTGGCTAACAAAGTTCCACAGGTATGTCTGTCGAATATTAATAGATGGTTTCAAAGCACATTCCAATGGGATTGGTTAATCACGCGTAAAGAATTTTATCAAAACGTTGTGAATACAGAAATCATGAATTTTCAATTTCGATATATAATGGATTTCTACATTTTATACAACTTTTATAGAATTACTTGATAAATTTGAATATAAAATATTGGTCCAATTTATTTTGAAAAGTAACAAATAAATTAAAAATGTAATACTTTTTGGAAAAATCAAAAGAGAGAATAATCAAGAATATTATTATGTATGAAAGTGTAATAAAGATTATTTTTACTTCTTAAAATGGGAAATTATATACAATATTATGTATGAATATATTCTGATTATGCGCACTAATTACGCGATTTTTACTCGTTTTACATAATGTAGAACACGAACGACTTTAGAGCAGTAAAATTATATTAATAAAACGATGATACAGTCAAGATGTAGCTCGCAAAATGTAAATAATTCGAAGGAGCATAGCGTGTTTTCGTGAAGTACTTCAGTTCTGTATATGCGGTGTATAACATTCGCGTGCAATATTAAATATAAACTGAAACAACACATTTCTGCAGGCTGGATAAAATGCAACAACATAGTCCGAATGGCGGCAAAAGCAGCTGCATTCCAGCTGCGCAGAAGTGCATCCAAAATGCAGCTGGTCGGCTGCGCAACATTCCGCAATAGCTGCGGTCATTTTGAACACGTTGGGTTAGCCAAGGAATGTTAATAGAAAATACTCGGTGTCTCCAGACTTTAATTATGAGGCGCGAATGGTGATCGCGAGGGAGTTGGGATAAAGGGGTGAGATGGTGTAAACGTGGGTTGGCGCAAGAAGGGGGGGGGGAGGATAAGAGCCTCCCTTCTCGCGAAGTCTCGAATTACACCGAGGATGAAAATCGTGCCGCTTGTTTGACGGAAGCGTTGCATTTACAACAAAGAAAGTATATCGAGAATTGGCGAGATTTTGGAGCAAAACAGCAAACTTGAAAGAATTCTGAGAGTCTTAAAGAAAATAAGCGAGAGGATGTGGAGTATAAGAAAAACGCAGAGATCCAAATGGAAGAGAGAGATGCAAAAAATCGAAATGAATCGTGGGAAAGATCACAAGAAACTAGATGAGAACGGAAGAAAGAACAGGAAGATAAGGCTATGGCGAGCAGGACGAATGTCATTGTGGAGTCTATCTCTTCCCTTCGCCCGACTTCGCGTTGAGTCGATTTTCAAGGTTGATCTTCGAAACGAGTTGCCAGTGCCGCAACGTTAAATCCGCGATTAAAATGCATTGCGTAAAATCAGAAGGGCGAGCCTGCGCCCCGTTTCGTTTCTGCATGCCGAGTAAATTACGTAGCGCCGTCAATCCGGCTCGGATTTCTCCAAAGCCCTGGGTTCACGGAAGACGGAGCAAAGCGGAATAAGGGGAAGTAGAATGGGCGTGCGAGGCTCAACGAAGCAAGTTGAATAAGGAATAGAAGGACGCGCGACGTCCTAAGAAGAGATGAGGTTAAAACCAGAGCTGAAACTGGACCAAGAAAAATAAGGAAAGCAAAGTGCGCGATAATACGAAATGAAGTAAACCGAAGCGGGGTAGGTAATGTAAAGAAACGAAGCAATGCAAAGTAAACGGGAATATAGTGGGGTGAAAAATAGAGCAGAGTAAGATAAAATACAGCGTATAGAGAGCGAAGAGTGAGATTTAGAACGTGAACAAAGTAAACTAGACAGCCGAAGAAGCGGAATGAGAAAGGTAAAGCATAAAGCGAAGTAAAGCGCAGTGAAATAATACCAAGGGAAAAAAATAATAAAATAACGCAAAA